TTTGGCCCCACCCTACCCTGGGCGTCATGATTTGAACAAACTTGAATCTACATTATGTAATGAAAGTTTCACTTATGTTTCAACTTTTCTGGCCAAATGGTTCTTGAGAAGAAGATTTTTGAAAGATGACACAAAATTTTCACTTATTCTTACTTATCTCCCCTAGAAAGAGGGTGTGGTCCTTTATTTGACCAAACTTGAATCCCCTTCAACCAATTCTGCTCTGTGGCAAGTTTGGTCAAAATTGGCCCAGTGATTCTTGAGAAGTCGAAAACGTGAAAAGTATACAGACAGACGGACAGCTGGACAGACAGACAGATGGACGCCAGACAAAATGTGATCAGAAACTCACTTGAGCTTTCAGCTCAGGTGAGCTAAAAAGTGATTTTGGTTAAAAATGGCTCATAGGAGAAGTTAAAATATGAAAAATTTACAGATTGATTAATGAAGGAATGTCAAACAACAATGATAAGAAATCAAGACTTCTGAACTGTTTTCATCTCATTTTCCACATGTTCCAAGAAACAAAGGATTGAATAAGCCTTTTTTCTCCAATACTTTATTTTCCCTTAACTGCATGTGTTTACAACATGTATGTACAGAAGCATAACAACAGTACTTCTTCAGATTTCTGGAGTTCACAAGAAATTCAAATCATTCAACACTTACTTCATAAATGAAAGTATCTATCTTTCTTGTACGGCAAATCCATGCTTCATCATTTGTTTCATCCATATGTTGTGAGGAATAGAATGATGGAAATTTACAGCAATGAAATCATATATTTACAGCAAGAGTATTCATTTTGAAAAGCAGCATAAATAAAAGTCAATTAAATATTAAATTAATCTTTATTAGGGCTCTCAATACTCTATTGTTGCAGTAAGCAATCTATGCCTATCTTAATGACCAGAACTTGCTGCTCCAAATTTCATAATCGGCAAAATAAACTATTTGAAATAATTCTAAAACAGCCTCTTCAAATTCATAAATTCATCCCTTTACTTCGCTTGATGTGGTAAGAAAACCATAATATTATATTATGTACAGATGATATACTGTTTTAAAAATCATAGAACACAACTTGAACATAAATGGTTTCAAAACACTTTCAATAAGCAAAACCTTAACTGAAAGACATGAATTTTACATACAGCATCAGAACATGAAGACTTTTGGTTTTTGAGAGAGGTTATTGTATGGTCTCTGTTGTCTTTTATGCGAACTTCAACCTAATAATGATAATACATTTTAAAATTCAATGAAACATGGATAAATTCATATTTTTATTACAGCACACTGACCTCCATATGAACACATTATTTTTGTGTTGCCTGCACAGCAGAGAAATTAAACTTAGGGATCACTTTACCTGCAAGTGTCTGTCTGTCTATCCGTCTGTCTGTCACACCTTATATCAAAAGAGCCCTACCCTAACACCAGAACCCCTGACCCAGGGGCCATGAAATTCACAATGTTGGAAGAGGCACCTTTGCTCATCATAACTATACAACTTAGTTTGTTTGTATAAAACCAAGGAGCAGAGAAGATTTTCAAAGAAATAATGCACTTTTACTATATGATCTATATAGCCCCACCCTAGCACCAGAACCCCTGACCCTTGAGCCCTGAATTTCACAATTTTGGTAGAGGACTCAATGCTTCTTACAATCATGCCAACAGTCTGACTGATTGATGTCCAGGAGTAAAGACGAAGATTAACTTACCTCTCCTATCTGAGGACAGATGCTCAGTACACTGCGAGTGTCTACACTGTCACCTCAGCTGTCTCCCACACTAATTTACCTCTCCTGTCTCAAGAGAAATGCTCAGTACACTGGGTTTGTCTAAATTTTCACCTCAGCTATCTGATACACTAACGTACCTCTCCTATCTGAGGACAGATGCTCAGTACACTGGATGAGTCCACATTGTCCACTTTGGTAGTTTCATGGAACACTCATGTATCCAGCTAAACATTGTCTCCATAAGTGGTATATTAATTCATGTAATTAAAAAATTAAAAAAAACATTACATAAATTGTGAATTAGAATGTCTATTGATGTATTAAAGCTTTATCGACAATCATACTTGAGATGTAAAAGGGCCATATTTCATTTGTTTCAGATTTCATACCTTTAATTCTGAGTTCAGAGTTGTGAGTTGAACTATGATTTTCTTTTTCAAGATGACCTTGACCTGAGGACTGCCATAGAGGAAGTTTGTGACCTTCACAGCACCATTGACCTCAAGGGAGAAACAATCCCCTGCAAGTAAAGATGTGGTTTTACATGTATCATTGTAAAAATCCTCAGGTAAATTGTATGGTAAATCATTTTGTCAAAGAATATTAAATACAGTATGTTAAAAGCATTAGCATTCTACGACTTGTAATTTTAATAAAATATGTGTATTTAATATTATTTACACATTCTGATGATTCCTTATTTTACATGTTGAGTACTTTTAAAATATCGCAAAATGACTCATAGGCCGCAAATTGTAAGAATGTAAATTTGCAAATGGACTGTTGTCCTCGAGTTTTACATCTATTTCAGCAATAAAAAACAAAAGTGTATAATTCTATTTATATAAGTGCCGCTTGACAAGAAAATTTATGGTTTTTATATGATATGTATAATTGTTATTTAAATTTAATAAGTAATTCAAAATGAATATTAAGAGAAAGTCCATTCTAATAGCCCTACTACATGTATATGTAATTAAAAAAACTGTTTTCTCTCAACTTTATTTAGAGTATCACATACTATTGCAGAAAATAGAGCTGCAAACTTGAAAAGAGATAAATAACTACAAAATAAACTTACACCCGCATTTATAACATTTGTGATTTTTTTCTATGACGTCCACATAGAGTTTATTCTATCTCTTATTTTGAAATTATAGCTTTAAAACGTAATGTTATTTCTAGAATTCTTCTGAGCAAATTTAAAAGTACAGAATAATGGTTACTTTTGCAGTTATTTAATCTTCTTTATTTCTATGAAAAACGCAAAAAAATACATGTGTATGCATGACTTGGTAATACCAAAATGGCAGCAGAAAAAAAAAACCTAAATTTAAATCTCTTCTACAAGGAAGTAAAAAATGTGTACAGGTATAAACAGAGATATGTGGGTCATCTGATCTAGATAGTTTGTATGTTGTTTAACGTCCTCTCGAGAATTTTTCACTCATATGGAGACGAAACCAATTGCCGGTGGAGGGCTGCAAATATTAGCCTATGCTCGGCACTGATGGCCATTGAGCAGTGAGGGATCTTTTTCGTGCCAACACCTACTGCGCAACGGGACCTCGTTTTATACATTCTCAACCGAAGGACTCAACCACGTCTCGCAGGATCTAGATAGTAGATACACAGAGGCAACTATGGTGTATGTTTAGCAACAGGATCGATAGGACACCTGCCATTACTATCTGAAGTCAGGTAATATTTACATGATCCTGTAACATGGCATTATGAAAGTTTTTATATTTTCCTTAAAAGTTTTATTCTAAGAATTGGTAGGCAATTTTAGAAAATGACTCAACTCTGAAACAAAGGAGAAGATAAAAATACAAAAAAGTATGTGGGTTTTTTTTTACTTAATATTGAACTCATATTGATTAGAAAAATAAAGTACCATAATCATATCTTCAAATTTCAAATTTAATTGACTTTTATTTGCATGATCAAGATATGGAGATCATTTGATCCTGACGATCTTGTCAATCAGAAGATTCTGCTGTACAACATAAAAAAAATTATTCAATGGAATTCACTTGTCATTTTGATAAAATAACGCTTTCAAGATTTCAAGAAGTGGTCAAGAAATTTTAAGCCTTATTATTCATTTTCTTATTAAGTTAGATTTCAAACTGAACTTATACATGTATAGTGATTATACAAGTTTGAAATACCTTTATGTACTTCAATGTAAGTAGATACATGTATGTGTAAATCAATATAGAAAATTAATACATGAACATTTACAAAAAATATATGCTATATTGTTTTCCTTCTCTAACTTTCAGTCCTTGACTCATATCATCATTATCGTTAATATCTGATGTAGTTTATTTTTCATACATTTTGTTGACAACCCTTAACATAAGTTTGTCTGCAATTTAAATTATCGAGGAATTAAAATCCATTAAACACAGAGACTATGAAGTATAAAATCTGACTAAATATAACGTAAAAACACCTATGTGGGTCATGTTATATAGATACACAGAGAAGGACTAAGTTAGATTTAACCAACAGGATCGATAGGACAGCTGCCATTGCCGTAACACGTCAGGTAATATTTATAACTGAAAATCACAAAATATTGGTAAAATAACATGATAATTTTGCATTTCCTTCAAATATTTAAGCAAAGAATTTACATAAACGCGATTTGTTCAAATATCTTAACAACGTCGTCGTTTGTATTCCATTTTAAAAATGGTTGACTCCTGTAAAAAAGACCAAAACCACAAAATAATTTAATCTAAATACGTTTCTTCTAAATATGAAACACATGTAGGTTTACAATACCCAGATGTGGGATTGAACTACCGTTTCGTACAACTTGAAATTTAAAATAACGTTTAAAAATTGATCTAAGCATGCAGATCAATATTCTTGTAAACTAACAATCTTTGCTGTACAAAACACATGTACATAATGTCTTGCAATCAATGAACATTTTATTTTTGATGGCATCATAAAAAAATAGTATGCATGCAGAGATCTCATCAATTCGCCCCAATAATCCGATCTGTATATATGAATATTTATCATGTTACACGTCAATCTTTTAATGGAAGATCTTTTATCTTATCATTCCACAACTGAACATTAAGCAGTCCTGGTAAATTAGCACTTTTTAAAAAGCTGTACATGTATGGTTAAACATATTTAATAATTCATGTTCATGTACACTTTCATTCTTCCATGTGTTTACTTCTACATGCAATACTAATTCTATATTTTAGAGATAGAAGTTTATTCATGGATCCACGTACCAGTGGTCAGGATGTGATGCGATGTGACACGTGTAAGACAGCTGTGGTACAGATGCACTGTCTTACGTGCCTTGTCAACTTGTGCAAGGTTTGCTTGGGTGAACATTTTTCAGCTGATCTCTCAAGAAATCACAAAATTGTTGACTTTAAAGATAGAAAATCCACCCCTTTCCACCCTGGATGTACCTCTCATGCTGAAAAGCAATGCCAAATGTACTGCAATCAATGCAACATTCCTGTTTGCACCAAGTGCCTTGCATCTGATCAACATTTAGGTCATAAATTATCAGAAATATTGCAAGGTCTGGACGAAAGAAAAGACAAACTAATCAGAAATCAAACTGAACTACGTGAAGCAATTTATCCAACCTACCAGGACATTGCCTCTGACATACAAAAGAGAATGACTCAGTTAGAAAAGCAATATGAAGATCTATCAGCAGCCATAACTAATCATGGAAAACTTTGGCACACAGAAATTGACAATCTCGTTGAGAAACTTAAAGCTGATGTTGATGAAATGAAAAAAACACAGATACAAACTGTGCAGAAACATCTGGACGAAATACACAAATCATTGTTTAAAATCAAGGAAGAAATCAATTTAATTGACGTTGCTGTCAATTCAAATGACATTTCCAAACTATACAATGTCACAATCAATATAGACAAGTATAGGCAGTTACCATATAAACTTCTGCTCTACTTACCTAAATTCACTCCAGGAAGAATTTATGGAAAGCTGTTAGGAACCTTATCACCAGCTTTTTCATCCCAGGATAAGACGAGATATAGCATGAAGAAAACGACAAAGTCATGGGAAGCTCGATCCTCTCTTCCAATGAAACAACTGCTTGTTGAACCAGATACTGTCACTAACATAGACACAGGATATAAATGTTTCCTTAACTATGTGGCCTGTCTGAGTGACGAAGAAATCTGGACAAGTGGAGATGACAGTATCATTAAACTCTTCAGCATCAAGGAAGGATCACAACTGAAGTCAATCAGAACCAAGTCAGGGTACATGCCAAGGGACATAACAGTGACGAAAAGCGGAGATCTAGTTTATATTGATTATGATTATAGAACTGTTAACATTGCTAAGAATGAGAAGATAGAGGAGGTGATCAAACTTCAGAACTGGAATGCTTACGGTCTCTGCAGCAGCTGCTCTGGTGACATTCTGGTTGTCATGAGCAGTGATGACAAAAAGCAATCAAAAGTTGTCCGTTACTCTGGCTCCACAGAAAAACAAACCTTTAAGGTTGATAATAAAGGTAAACCTCTCTATTCCTCGATAAAACGAATCAGTGAAAACAAGAACCTGAATATCTGTGTGTCTGATAGTGATGCTGGAGAAGTAGTGGTGATCAATCAGATCGGGGAACCGAGATTTAGGTACACTGGAAATATGTCTGTTGCGAAGAAAAATCCCTTCAAACCTCAAGGAATCACCACAGACAGTCAGAGTCACATCCTTACAACTGATATTAACAATCACTGTGTCCACATCATAGACCAGGATGGACAGTTCCTCCGTTGCATATACGGTAGATTGAGTCAACCGTTGGGACTGTGTACAGATGCATATGACAATCTCTTCGTTGCTCAAAAAGGGATTAGGCAAGTGAAGAAAATCAAATATCAGCAGTGAAATCCATTACTGTATTATATGCACTGTAATGACATTCTATTTAGAAGTCTAACTGTATATTACTTTTAAACTTGTAGTGCAACAAAAGCTTTATCTGCATTTTAATCATTTCAATAAAATTCACAATTCTTCAAAGGTAAATATTTAACGAATTTTTTATTAAGTTGTCATCTTTTGTATCGTTTGTTCCCTTAATACACTAATTACCGGGTTCTGTTATCAATAGAGCTTCTATATGTGCTAAATGTTTAAATTAAACAAACAAGGATCGCAATTAAAGTCAATCGGCACAGTCTGGGAACATAGCAAGAGAGGTAGCAATGGAAGAGAAAGGCTATGCATTCAATATGATTATACACTATTAACATGTGAAGATTGAAAAGATAAAAAAGGTTATCATATTTTAGTACCACGAACTAAGATGGTGTCTGCAGTAGCTCCTCTGGTGATCTCCTGGTTATCATGAATAGAGATGACTTAAAACAATCAAAAGTTTCTCCATTAGTCTAGCTCCAGTTATAAGAAATATAAGAAGAATTAAGCATTCTTGCCTGGAGAAGTATCCACCCCTATAATTTTAATCTGAAAAGAATGCAGCAGTCTTTAGTCGTTTTATGCTGGGCCTGGACCTCTGGGCTGCTTTCTGGGATCGCTGGGATTATTGCTCAGGGTGGGTGTAGGTGGTACTGTACCACTCATAAAATGTTTAATCTGAAAATCTGAAAAGAATGAGAATAACCCTGACACAATAGCACCATAATAAACTATAGTTTACTATAATATCAAAGTTTTCACTATAATAAATCAAAGTTTTTACTTAAGTTAATCAAATTAGTTTTACTTTGAATTTCAGATCGTTATATCTTTATCATTATTATTATTTTTTTGAATTCCTACAAGCAATTTTCTTATATTAAAAAGAAATATTACATGTATATTTACATACTGTTTAAAAAAAAATCTATATCATTGATATGTATTATGATGTATGAAGGCTCTTAATGTTCAAAAAAGGTTCTAACGTAAAGTTTCAATGTAAATCAAAGTATTAGAGTATTTACTATAGTTAACAATAGTAAATCATGGTAAACTATAGTCAATTTTTGTTAGGGAAAGCCATTCAAGATTTAAAAAAAAAAAAAAAAAGAGATCCATAAACCTTGCTCTGAGTCACTTAGACTCAAAGATATAGAATGTCCTCTGTAAAATATTTGATGAACAAATATTCCTATTACTAATTACAATGTAGTTGCGTGTTGGGTCGCCCGCGTGGCGCATGCTAGCATGCAGTGGTTAGAGCGTTCGCTATAGAGTCGCGGAGTAAGGAGTTGATCCTTACGTCGCGGGTTCGAATCCCACTGTGGGACGTGGAGTCCGGTCCTTCGGATGAGACCGTATAAACCGAGGTCCCGTGTGATCTACTTGAAGACACAAATCGAAACTTAGGCCAAATGTAAATACTGATATCGTCCATCATTCATTTTTGGTAGCTCGAGAGTCACTTCTCTCTTCAAACCCTATCTAGGTAGCGGTGATTATTAACTTTGATTGTGTTTTTATTTCTTCATTGATTATGCCTGCCCAGCTAATTACAAGTGCTAATTCATTAAATTATTAAAACAAACTCGTTTTACAATTAAAGCATTGCCAGTTAATTAAATATCACTTTATATTAAGCAAATAGTATGAAATGTCTATCATTTATTAAAAAAAAAAAAAAAACAAAAAACAAAAAACAAAAAACGAACGAACAAACAAACAAACAAACAAACAAACTGAAGGAACAAACATCAGAGGCTGAACAAAACTAAAACATTGAAAATGTTCCTATCCGCTTTCTTTGTCAACTGTAGATTGGTAAACTACATGAACATGATAAATGAATCTAAAATACCAAATATCACTCTGACTTATAGACCTGGGGGTCGTAACATAAAGGGTACTTAAGTCTAAGACCATGCTTAAGTAGGACTTAAGTACAGTCTTAAACTTAAGACCGTAACTAGAAACGTGCTAAGATTTGACAATCTTAGCAAAACTTAGGCGGCCAGTAGAGGTGACTTAAGTATATCTTAACTTTCTTAAACATATATTTAGAACTATTTAAGGTTGAATTTCTATGTTAAGACATTCCTCTATTTATATTATACATTAAAAAAAAATAATTTTCTATATTTAATATACTGGTATACGAATTTTAGTTTTTCGTCGGGGTGGGGGGTTTGGGAGGGGGGGTATTCATCACTGATTCCAATATCACTCTCTAAATGACATATACATGTGCATGTAAATGCAAAATATTGTTTTTGGGATACGTTTGAAATATTAATGGGACTTAGGTTATAAACACTAATCATTATAATTAAGTAAATTGTATACAGTAATCATGGATTTGTTTGTTCACTGTGAAAAAATGAAATGAAATGAATTTAAAAATTGTCGGTGATGATGACTTGAAAGCAAAGATTTTCTGTAAATTAGATTGAATGTATTCTCTTTAGAGAAGTGGACAGGCTTTCGCCTACATCCACTTCTCTTCGCAAGCCTTCAGGTATCACACCGGTAATTGACCAATCAAAATGAACTTAGTCAATTGTAGTTCCATACATAATAAAGAAATATTTTTTTTATTGTGAGAAATTTTTTAATTTCCCTTATTCTATTTTTACATTTTTGGTATCTGTGCTTAGGATATTTTATGTACTTTGTAAAATATTAAAGGTTTTTGACAGGAACTATTTCTTTCGGGGCATAGGAGGCCACTTCCTGGGGTGCACACAGGATGTTTATAAACACATTGAATACACGTGGTTTTGAGGGTATTCCTGTTTGCGGATGGAAAAAATCAGAAAATGCCGTGTAGGTACCCTATTTTTTGGTGTCAGCTGATGTAACTGGTAACGTTTAACACTTCCTGCTAAATATTTTTTCATGAATTCGAATACCTGATTTTTAATGATTTTTTATTCTATATAGAATTACATAGTGAAAACAATTACCGGTGTGATACCTTGAAGGTGATTGTGTAAAATCATCTACACCCATATTAAAGGCAGTTTTAATTTTATAAAGGCATATTTTAACAAAATATGTCATTTTATGAACTTTCTGTGTGAAAGCACATGTTTTTAAATTTAGAAGCAGGGTTGACATTAATTTATACAGATTTCTATGTAAAATACTAATATTATGTCATGTTTTACCCTCAAAACTCCAAATTATGACTTTCAAAGTAGGATTATGCATCTGACATGTAGAAAGAAGTTAGAAAATGTTGGTTTTTTATTTTAGATGACTTAAAACTCTGTGCACCACCTGACCACAGTCAATTATAGTGTCTACAGACTTTGCCGTAAAAGCACTTTAGGCTGATTTTTTCAAGAAAAGACTAATTCTGGGTTTGCGAATGAGTTTTCAACAAAAGCGACAACTGCGATAAAATGTGAAGAAGTAAAACATGTTTTTAAAAAGTGTTAAATTTTACAGAGACTGGGTTTACTTTCATTTTATTCACCTTATGTGATTCATTTATTACTGGAGTGGAGGAATAGAAATAATGAAATGAGTTAAATTTGTCTAATAAAAGTAATGCACAAATAAAATTTATTGAGAATTTTTCAAAAATAAGAAGCTTATGACCAAAAATGCATAAATACTGTCAGGGCATGAGAGTGAATACTTATTCTGAGTTCCAACCATGCATCACACATGTAGTACAGAATGTCACTTAGCACCATGGTATGCCTGTTATGGTTCTCTAGACTTTTTCCATGCTTTCGCAGCTGACATTCAAGATTTTTCGGTTTGCCGGAGAATGTTTTTTGTCATTTTACCACTTTTATGTAGGTGTTGACCCTCTCTTTTAAATTAAGTCTCAGTCAGGATGTTTATTTTAGCATGATTTGTTAAGCACATTAATGTATTGAAATATTAATAAATTACAAATTAAAGTGATGAAGAAATTTGACATATTTACACAATCAAAATATCAGAATAACCATAATTCAGCTAATAAAGTGCCCTGTTCTTCTTTTGTCACTTCCTATAAATTTTATCAGCAGTTTTTGTACACCCACCCACCTCCAAGAATCAGGGAGGATGGCCTGATGTTAGTTTCTTTGTTGCTTTTATTCACATATAAAAGTGTTAAGACCCATAAAAATGTTTAAGATTTATATTTTTAAATTTAAATGTTGAATTTTTATGTAAATTTGGTGAAACAAAAAGCTGTAATCTTGAATTAATCATGCATATTCATCCAACACCTTTAAAATTCCTGAGTAATTCAATGAAAAGAGGATAATTATGTATGTTCAATTGGAATTTCATGGCTAATTTGTGTCTGCAGAGAAAGCTAGTTACATAAATCACAACAATAAATTACATCTGAATTGTTTTCTCCATTTTCTTATCATCAAAGCAAGTTTAATGGAGTGTCAGAGCTGTCCAGAACCTCCCCAGATGCTGATATCATTTGAACTGCCCTGTGTTACAACACAGCTTTTAGATAAACTTCTGCATAGCAGGTTGTAGACAAGTACCTAGGCTTTATTTGGAACATAAATTGACCAGATGCAGATTTTATTATCAGCCTAATATTTAACAATTTCTGTAAATTCTGTCATTCTTAGGAGGGTAAAATGCAATTTTGTTATGTAATAATTGCATAATGGTCCCAGACTTGTGAATTATTTTTTGTTTGTTGTGAAGAACAATGCATATACTCTCCACGGATACAAAATTGGTTGCCAGGCTTAGTCTATTAAGGATGAAATTCTGCTTCAAAATATGCACAAAAAACTTCTGTCAGAGTGCTCAGTGTGTATTCTTGACTGCTCTGGAGTAAGGGAGATAAATGCATCATATCTCCAGCAATAATGGGAATTAGATCCCCAGACTTCAGGATGTTAGTGACAGTTATTTAAGAAATCTCAGGTGCAAAAATGAAAAAAATCTGACAACTTCAAAGGTCCTTCAAGGTATCACACCGGTAATTGACC